CTAGCTGATGGAGAGAAAAAGAATTGAAAACTTTACTTGATTACAAAGAAGGTGTGTAAGTTGATCTTTTTACTTACCGGTAGTTGATATTCATTTTGAATAGTCAGTGCAATTATTTTATAAATTAAAATTCTCATTGCATTGTTACTGTAGAGTTTAAACTGAAAGTGAAGCCACTGACTAGAGGGAAGTTGACAAATGAAGTGTTCAAGTCAAAAAATTAGAGACTCAGTATTTCCGAACCTTTCTCCTAATAAAAGCAGGTACTGACTCTATACTGGTATAATCTGTCTATACTACCTCATCATAGGAAGAGAGAAGGCATTAGTGGAATATAAGAAAGAGATTGAGCTACTACAAGAAAAGATATCAAAAACTGTATATAGTGCACAACTGCTGAGTCAAATGGCAAATATTGAGAGTATGTGATATAGTAATTAAATCATCAACTGATTGATATGTTGTACAGAGAAGGATCAGTGTACACAATCACCAACAGCAGACTATGATTCTATTTACACAGGACGTATTGACTATTATGGGATATATCATAGTGTCAACCATCTTTCATTCAGTGAGGGAGAGCAGCTGGAGTTATATGACAGGTCAAATAGTTTATGGTGGAGAGGAAGATTTTTGGTGTCTGGTGATGAGGGAGTCATTCCTAGTAGTTGTGTTTAGTCAATGTTAGAGTCACTTCAATTGTTAGAGTTTATACTGTCAATGGAAGAAGTATCCCTTCCTATTCTACAGAAGATAAGGAATGATTCATCTAGTAATGATGAGAAAGCTTCTCTTTTCTTAGAGACTATTAATGATGATCCTATTATGATACCTGCACTGAGAGAAGACAAGTGGCAACATGATGGAGGTATTATTTGTGATCATTGTGACAGTTAATTATTTTTATGAACATAATTTTGCATATGTGCAGGTGTATATGTGTCATGTCATCTCATGTGTACATGCATACATAAGGATTGTGTATAATTATTAATACATGATAACAACACATTGATACAGTCAATCAGTGACAACTACTAGCTGTGTTTTGCAAGTTGTGTGTGTTTGTGTATTATTATGTACATACATGTATATATAAGTATAATCCTTTGGTTTATATTAGGAGTCACTGGGTATGTGGTTTGGATCAGTGACAGTGTATCCCTTACTTCTCCATCTCCAGTTCAGTGTAATGAAGTGATTAGTAAAATTAATAGTAATCATAAGGTGACTGTACTGAAAGACTCATCTACTAATAGTACAGTATCTCTACTATCATCAACTAAACTGCACACGCTAAACCTCAGGAGACTTGAGATATGGTACACTCCATTAACTAATGATTGTATCCAGTACTTGTGCATACTACTAATTAATAATAAAACAATACAAGAACTAGTCTTTTGGTACCACTCCATTAGTGATAGAGGAGTTACTAATATCTGTCAAGCACTTAAACACAATTCTACACTTACCTCATTAGTTCTTTCTGATAATCCTCTCATCACTTCTACTAGTGAACAGGCTCTTTCTCACCTCCTCCTAAATAACTCATCACTAGTTGAACTGAATATAACGAGGACTTCATTGTCTACCGAGTCAATAGTACTCATCCTCCAGTCTTTATTTGTGAATAAGAAGATAAGGAGACTCAGACTAGACTATCGACACAAAGAGACTTGTATTAATACTTGTCCTAACTATCACCTCATACATGACAGATTAGTCTGGTAAATCTGGTCACTCTTCATGTGAACTTGTGTAGTGAAAATAAGAGCCGAAAGAAAAAGTCTGTAAATTATACTGTACTATACTGTACTGTAAAGGTATAGATATTTGCGGTACTACATTTTTACAATTTTGAGACTATCAAATTTTAAATTACTGTGTTTTAATTACATGCTTTCTTTAAAGTCATTACAATTTGTTCACATAAAAAATTTTAAGGGGTTAAAATTTCACTAACTAGTGCTGAGAGCAAAAATAGTTTAAATTAATCTCCATGAAAGTTAAAGAAAAATGTACTTCGGTAGCACTTTACTTTCAAGAGCATA